ATTTGATAGCCATGAGCAATCAGTCATTGCAAAAGGTCACCAGAGAAAATCTCGTCTGCTAAAGTAAACCTTATTACTTATTTCTTTCTTCTCTAACTGTACTATCATGGATATCTAAGCCTGTGGGAATAAGCCGCTCTTTACCAAAAGCAATGTTTCCGTGCAATGCCATCAACCACCAATCGTTCATGTATGTACCCAAATAGTTCCCCAGCCCAAATCCACCCAAAATGGTGCCTCTATGTACAAACGCCGTCATTATCTGTCGTCAGAACTGTTTAAATGCTCACATAATTGTACACTCCCTGTCCGGGATATTTTTACCTTCCTTCACTGTCCCATCCTTGTGGTGATGCTGATGTGAAGGATGCGCTTTGTCGGTACCCTCTTCTCCTCCCTTGTTCCTGTTCCTAAACTTATCCCTTTTGCTTCGACTGCGAGTCGGTTTGCCATCATCTGGCTTCAAGCCACCAGCGTCAGACGCGACAATAGTACCATCTTCGGTGACCGAAGCACTCTTATTCGTTGTGTCTATCTTATTCAAAAATTCTTTACTTCGCATTAAACCTAGCCTAGAGAATGTGGCGCTCATGCGATGCTCTCCTGTCGCACTTGTTGGCCGGCTTTTGCTTCCGGATTTTGTGAAGCGGGCTGCAGCCCGAGACATTCGTTGTGCGGCAGTCTCGTCGTTTGGAGTAGTTGGAGCGGACACAGCACTTTTCTCTTTGATGCTTGATACACTTCCAAGGCTCGCATCTGTGAAAGTAACACTTGGACGCCGGTCCTCAGGGATTGTTTCCACAAAGCTCAAACTGATTTCTGGCCTCTGGCTATCCGATGAAAGCCTAATAGACGGAGTAGTTTCGCCATCCGCAACACCATCGAAATAATCTCGTCGCTCTATGCTGGCAGCAGCAATGCTGGGTGGCTTCGAAGATGCGGATTTTATAGCAACCCCAGAATCGGCGTATGAAGGTGGCTCGGGCTCCGTGGGCGGAGATTCGTGCATTGGCTGGATCTGATAAAATAGCAGATAGGGCATCTCTTCCTTTAGAGCTTGTTCAATATCCGCATCTGAAACCCTTGCAGATTCGTTCAAGTCATCAAACTTAATCCACCTTTCGATTGGGTAATCCGGAGGTAGATTGGGATCATTGAGTCCTCGTGTGGAAGTTGCATCTCCATCACCGGTCTGTACCGCTCCTCTAATAAATGAAATATAATGACCAGATTGGACAGACTTTCCACGATGGCAGATGACAGATTGTAATGAGAGCTTGAAATCTCCTATCAGCTGCCCGTTCTCTTCCACATCCTCCTCATCTATGAAATGAGGAAGTCGGATATCCAGTGGTATATCGATGAATGTATTCTTTCGAGTTGCCTGGCCATCTGCGGAGAATGCATATCGCTTAAGGCATATACCAAGAACAGGACGGGTATTAGTGAAATGTGCAGCCACCTCGGCATCACTCGACGGAGAATTTGTTGTGTACCAAGCTGTACAACAAATTAGCATAACTTGAAAGACGGCGAATTATCAGGCTGGGGACATACGCATTAGATTGAAAAACTGCCAAGCAGGCATGAGAACCTCCTTTCTAATAGATCCTTTTCTTATTGAGCCAAGCCTTGGTCTAGCGCTCGCAGGTGTTGACGGCTCGCCTTCCTCACCATCTATTGGCATGACGCGATGACGTATGATGCTGGTAGTTGAGGAACGTTGACGCCCCAATGACGGTGGGAGAGACGATGTTAGAGTCAAGGGATATCCAGATACTGGTGTATTTGGCGAAGATGGTGAGACTTCCGAAATTTCCACACGCGGAGATACACCCTTATCAAAAGAATGTGACCTGCCGGTCCGCATAGAAGATATTGTTCCAGAACGCTCAAGACGGCGCACTACTTCGATGCGGTTATTGAAGTAATTCTCTAGACAGTCCTCTAGCTGTATCGTACGACCATTTTCAGTTTCATCTGGTACAGCCACTTCTAACAAACGTTCATAGATAAGCTTATGATCATCATTTGCATCCTCTGTTCCAGTATGATATATGTCCATTTTGAGAGTAAGGAGGGGGAGCTGTAGTTTTTCGGTGATGAAACTAAAAGCTTCGGAGGTATCTTGCTGTTGAATATTTGCGGCCTCTTCCCACCCGCAGTCCTTAAGAGCATTCTGCAGTTTTTTAGTCTGCACGATTTGTTAGTATGTGTTTTATGTGTGCGATTCTGACAATACGAACAATATCTGTCTGGATCAGCATTCCAGTCCTCAACATATTAACCCATAATCGTATCAACGTCGCCAATCGCCTTCGGGGCTCATCTGCGAATTGTGCGTATAGAATTGGCTCGAAACTGCTGAGCCGGCCAAACATGGAGAAGAGTAGCGAATCGAGGTAGCAAGTGACATTGGAGCGATTTACTGCGCCTTTCATAGGTACGTCTGGATTGTAAGGCTTGATAATACCATCTGCAGATTCCTGGTACAAAATAGCGATTTCAACAGCTTTCTCGACATTTCCTCCCGCATACAACGAATCAAGCGCAGTAGTGACTGCCTCATCATCTATTTTCTCATATCCATGTTGCTCCAATGACTGTTTCACAGCGTGGATCTAATTATTTTATTTAGTATACGTTCAATTGAACCCGGCATTTCGAATATGTACCTTTGCAGCGCGTTCTTGCTCTTGTTTCCTCTGCTTTTCTTCCGGGGTGAGTTGGTGAGGAACATCGATCGAATTTCGACTCTACAACATAACAACAACATGTTAGTATTATCGGATATAATATGGTCGGAAATATCTCAAATAATGCTAAATAATGAGATGTGAGGATGAGACCAGTCATATGGTATTAAGCGCTGTGACGTAGGCAGTATCCCCTGGATCTGTAGGAAGGTGGGGGGAATGTAGGTATCGGAGGTATTACTTACTTCGATTTCGGTTGCTTTCTCCTTGGATTTCTGACGCCGATGAAGGTTCCCATCCTTCTCACGCCTGCTGAGAAGGCGATTCATCTTCGTGTTGGGAGACTGTCGCGTTGTCTGTTGTGGCAACAGAGCGTCCAAGGCTGCGTTTGGCGTGTCGAAGTGGTATTTAGCGGGGTTGAACGACAGTCTTATCGCTGAAAACAATCTCTCACTTGGTCCATGGTATTCGCAAGTCGCAGTAAAACAAACGGTAAGCAAAATAACAGAAGAGAGTGAAGTAGCGACTGTAAGGAGTGTATCGGGCACACCGGTACATTTATAAATAGGTGCCTATGGATGTGGACGTTCTTGGGATTCTCGGGGCCTGTTTCCCCATGCCACCGGCGCTGTCAAACCTTAGCAGCAGCTAGATGGAACAGCACTATGACCCCTGTCACGAGGCGGCGGATCGGCGCTAAGATGTTTTTAGCCAGACTTTTTGCGTTCCCCAAACTGGAACCGAAGCTCACCATATTGTCGAACGTCCAAAGAATAATTTTTGGGCGGGAGACACCAGTCTCGCAGCATCAAGCGCTATGGCACTGCGTGAATTGCCCTCGATACTGGGCCGCTGCATATCGAGAGATGTAAGGCAGACGACAATGCTTGCGCAACAATGCCGGAGGCACGCATCTCAGGATGCTACAGCAAAAGAGGCACTCTCTTCAGATCTGCAGGATTTGGAATCGCAATCCTCTTTGACAGCTCCCTTGCCCTCCGGAGATACATTGAAGACATATGATCCTGCCAAAAGAGCTCAGTCCCGAAGGAGAGAGCTTCCACCTAGTCGGTTAGATTTGCAATTGGAGATGGTAGACAGTAGCACATCAATTGACACTTTTACAGATATCAGTATAGATCGCCGAGATACTACCGTGGCCCTCTCCACCCCCATCAACCACCTCCATCTTCAGATCCAGCATCTAGACTTTTTGTTCCTGGTCCATTTGCGAATTCCCGACTAGAGCAGACATATCAATCCACCATTGCCCACGACCTAATGACCCTCACATACACCCACAAGCCTCCAGGAACAATTGATCCCGCGAAAGCTGACCGTTTGAGATCCTGGGATGATTCCTCACCATACCACAAGAACAGACCGAAGCGTGGTCCCCGTGGAGGCGATGTCTTACGTTTGGTGGAAAAAGATATAACCTTTCGCAATATCCCTAAAGTTGAGTCGATAACGGTACACACTATGGTTAAGGGCGCCATTGAAGACTCAGCGTACCTTCATGTTGCTGGCATTTTAATCCAGGCGGTTACTGGAGTTAGACCTACGGTTCACAAGGCCAAGCATAGCGTAGCGCAATTTGGCATCCGAGAAGGCAAGGCCATTTCTTTGACATCTACCATGCATGGAGAACAAGCATACGAGTTTCTAGACAAATGCATAAATCTTGTCTTTCCCAAGATCAAGGACTGGCCGGGTATTAGAGGTAAGGATTTAGTACTTAGTTTTTCTATACACCTAGCTTACGTTCCCAGGGACAACCGGTGACAGCAGTGGTAATATCAGTTGGGGATTCGACAGAGATGCTGCGATTCTATTCCCAGAAGTCGAAGTCAACTATGATGTAAGATTCTAAGAATCAATATCTTGGTATTCTAAACTAATAGTATTACAGATGTATCCGCCGAAGATGATTCCCGGATTCCATGTCAGTGTGAAAACGAGCGCAAGATCTGATCGACATGCAAGACTTCTTCTTAGCGCGATGGGTGTCCCATTCTATGGAAAGCTGGTGAATTAGAGAACACTGTGATATCTAGAAATAGGGAGTACATGTGGATGATTATGTATCATGTATAATATATGTACCACGAAAAAATCTAAAATCCACGACCATACCGAGGAAGCCATTGGGTTATCCAAGGCAGAAGAAAAGAAAAATTACCAAGATTCCCTTCAAATTAGGGACGATGTATAAAGACTAAAAGATATTATGATCTCCGTTCCGTCGGTATCCACTTCATATATTGCATGTGATAAAAAATTTCCCACCAAAAAGGTATTCAATGATCAGGCTGGGGCTCGATCCCAGGACCTTCTCGGTATTTGATGTTAAACATACATGTTAACGAGATGTGATAACCAACTACACCACCCGACCTATTCGAATGACTACCGGGGTTGCTATTTTAGATAGTGAAATGCAACGAAAATTTTGCTTCACAGCGAACCAGTGTGGATCCATATCGAAATAGCACGTGACAGGTCTTGACTACCATGACCTCTTTATGCAAGGCTGCGATTTCGCTTGTTCCCTTATCTTATCTTTTTCGTGAAATCCGATCAGGTCAATCCCAATCATGCAGTATCCTCTGCGGATAATAAGAAAAAGGGAAAGAAGAAAAGCCGATAAATGAAAAGGAACCAACATGTCCAAATACCCATAGGAGAAATCCTAATAATGTCCTTCACCCACTCCCGCTCCCAAGCACTCACATCCCTCCCACCAGTCCACGACCTCCTCAACCTCGCCAACCACCGCAACAAAAACCAGCATCGGCTCTCCAAGTGGTGGAAGGAATTCTCCCAACTCCGGCGCCACATCGGGAAACTCATCGCTGAATTATCTGATCCGGATCTGAGATTCGTACATGAATCATCATCCACACCACCAGCTTCATCATCAAAAAAGAAACTCAAGCAGGAGAAGATAGATCGAGGGAATGAGTCACGTGATAGAGTTGAGCGAAGAGTTGCGTTCCTGGAGGATATCTTGGTGCCGAAGTGCTATATGTGAGTTAACTCCCTTTTATTTTTTCCAGTTGAGAGACGGACTCTCTGGGATGATGGGGAGTTACTATGCGGACCGTGCTGATGATGAAGAGTAGGGCATTTTCAAATGTTGTGGCGGATAACCAATATTCTGCCCTAGGATTGCTTTTACTAGGATGCTTGGCTCGGGTCCAGAAAGCTATTAAACCGTTGAGGAAGAGCGTAGAAGTAGAAACAGGCCTAGCAGTTGCGAATGACATTCCTGTGCCCTCTAAGGCAGGAGAAATCGATCTAGGAGAGAAGATCTCAAGAGATGATGTAGAAGGATTGAGGGTCGAGACTGCGGATGTAGATGTGAATGTGGATGTGTCTAGAGTCGATAAAGAAGAAGAAGACGAGGAACTTACAATGAAGATTAAGAAAAAGGTAAAGAAGGTGAAGCATAAATCTAATAACGACGAGGATAGGAAGGATGATGCAGATTTGAATCTTCCGGCGAGACCTAAAAAGAAGAGGAAAAAAGGCGACGCATTCGATAGTTTGTTTGCGAGTCTAATATAATAATGAAGAACTCTATCAAATAATTTGTTATCAAGAGACTGTTGAATTCACATGGGTCGAGTAGGTACGCAAAGTGAGGCCGGATAGAGTTAGCCTTTTATGGTTAAGCTTTATGTCTATAACTACAGAGATATCTCAGCGACTCAGACCAATCAATCGATAATAGCAAGAACAACTGGTGCTATATTTACACTATCAATAGTAAGACATGCAAAGAAAGGGGTAGCACCGAATATACCCTTATTCTTCCTAATGAGAAGGGGAGGACGCCAAATAAAACACTGAGAAGATCCCGTCCCCTATTACATGCATGTATACATATCACAACGCTTCTAGTCAGAAAGCGTAAGGTCTGCTTATTCGTCTCCGGAAAACCAACTACGCCCCTTTGATTTCCATTTTTAATTTGTTATCATTCACCTTTCCCATTCATTCAGCTGGAGCATCATCGACATTCATCTCAGTAGTTGCACCGTCTTCAACCTGCGGCTCGACAACTGGGCGTGCTTTGCTAGCTTCCACTATCCATGCCTCCTCCATGGCAAACTTCCTTCTGAAGACTCTAAGCCATCGCTGGCCCCACTGTCGAATCATAGCTTCATCCTTTGAATCTCCGTCTCCACCTTCGATAGCCTGGTCCTTTGATCCGTCTGCCCACGAGGCTAAATTATCCTGCATGAGAGTAAATAGATCTTTCATGGCAGCTCTCTCCCTTTGAATCGTTTCTTCCAGGACATCTTTTTGCTCGGGGAGTAGACCAGGCACATTCTTTGCCATCACGACTTGTCGGAGTCTACCAGTTACCTTACCGACTGTAGACGCGACCATTTCGTACACCCAAGACTCTGCTAACAGATGGCCCTTTTCAGTTAATGCCCACTCGATGACGCTTACTGGAGTGAGGATGGTATAGTTGAGGAGCTTATCCACGATATTGACACCAATGCCTGGTTGGTGTGTCCAGTACTCCATGACTGAGGTGATGATCTGTCGACGAGCAACTGGCGAAGCAGGGCCGATAGCTAGGAGACGGTCTTTACAACGTTCGATGCAGGAAAGAACATGAGATAGAGATTTGGAGCCAATATAGCAAATGGCCGTCAAGTAAACATCAGTAGATGCAACAAGTGGATCTAACTTCAGCGAAAGTGCTTGAGTAGAGATGCTCTCGATGATGGGTTGGATCTGATCTTCAGGCGCTTTTTTCCGTAACAACTGCATAATCTCTCTACCCTCTTGGGCAAATGGAGTATCTAAGAAAGGTTAACTTCTTCATCTAGCAATTTGCAAGCAGAATAAAACTTACCTTCGTTATCATACTTGAAATCAGGGGTATCTTTCTCCTTCTCTTCTGAAATCAATGCCTGGTAGGGCTCTGGTAAAGTTCCCTTAATTCTCTGTGCAAAGCTAAGCCGAATCTCCTTATCCAGCGCACCACAAATGAAGGCCTTGCGAGGGTCAAGATTCGACAGTTCAACGTCCTCTACCCACTCGGTCCATTTCCAGGTAAAACCAAAGTTACTGAGGTGGTGAGAAAACCAATCCATAAACCTGTAGCCCAATTCGAGATCCATAACGTCAATGTTCCTATATAGGTAGCGAATAGCACGGCCAAGACTGGGGGCAATAGCTGCTGGCGCAATCTTGCAAGCCTCAGTAAGGACGGAGTGATAGTAGACTAGCTTGTGCTCTGGGGATGGTAGTTGAAATAACTGAGAAAAGACAGCATCTACCGCAACATCTTCAGGTTTCCAGGTCGATCTATCGCCATCGAGATCACGAAGTCTATCGAAAGGGGTAGCTCTCTTGACAAATGTGCCCGGTGAAAAATAGCAGTCTAGATCAATTAGGAACCGCGCCGCCGCAACTCTATTGAAGTCAAGTATATTGATTGTGTCAACAAGAGCGTCCCTTAGCAAGGACGACGCGATGTCCGTTGATGGTGGGACAGTCTCGACTTCTTGGTTCCCATAGACAGAGAAATATATCTCAGGAAACAACGGTCTCGGACCAACCATCAGACTATCTGGAATGGTAACAGGAGGAAGAGTATGCTTGGGAGCGTTCGTCAGAGTCTCCGCTTCCTCTGGTCCATATAATAGTTTCCACGGTCTCGGTAAGCAATTCAACTCCCAGTTATTAGCAGCCTCAGATTGCAGTTGTTTTTGGAGCAAACTCAGAATGCTAGTGGGAGGAACAGCAGCATCTGCCTTCTCAGTGTCCGGGTACGGATCGATTAGCACCTGTAGTGCGTGTGGTTCCGAAGCAATGATGTCCGTATTTTCAAGCATAGCAGCAGCCTTCTGCTGAGTCTCCGTAGCCGAAGAAGCCATAACATAAGGGATAGTGAAAAGAATGATCTTGACCAATTCGATACCAATAGTCTGTCATGTTTTCACCTCGTTAGTTCAGTCCTCCTAAACCACGACTTTTCCCATGAGAGATAGCCAAAACCGCGCTTTCCAGAACTTACATCATCATTATTCTCCGTCTGCAGCTCCACAGCCTTCGTAAACAAATCCTGCAGCACAGAAAACACCCCATCCCCCTCCAACAACCCCTGCAGACACCCCAGGAACTTCAAGTAAAGCTTCACCCCCCTCCAATCGCCGCTCGCAACAGCCTTCGCCGTCTCCTCAGCCGTCTTCGCTAGCAACTCATCCACCATCTCCGCCTTCACCGTGTTGATCACCAGCACCACCGCGGCGACAAAGGGCGTCTTGAACGGCTGCTCTACAACCAGCTGCAGCGCCAGCTCGTAGAAGCTGGTTCGCACCTCCTCGTTGTCGTAGTTCTCCGCTACCGTCTTCCCGATGGAGAGCACCTCCTCTTCGATGCGCCGCAGGGGCGACTCCGCGATCGCGAGGAGCTGTTTGCGGATCTTGACTGGGAAGGGCTCCTCGTAGCGTCGACGTTGCGGTCTGCGGTCGTAGTCATCTTCATCTGTACACAGCCGATGACAAAATATACAATTAGTCTATTCGTCCTTTTTCTTATCCTCATTGTAGAAAAAAAGGAAAGAAGAAAGCATGTGGGGAGGATTTCGGATCAAGCTTGAGCTTGTGATAGTGCAGTCCTGCAGAGAGCAAGCTAGGAAAAGCTTCATGAAATTCGACCTTGACTTACCTCTATATCTCCTCTTCCGATTATTGTTGTACCCTCCCCGTCCACCGCGCGGCCTCGAATCGTAATCAGCCATAATCGCGCAATTGAACTGGTGCAAGCAAGGAAGCTAAAAGAGAAACTTTGGGAGATCCTCCGAAACGCTGAAAGGGACGAGGAAGGTTTACTACCAAATAAAGGATCGCGTCGAACGAACCGTGACGGAGCTAGAGAGTTTCCGATGTTCTAGGAATATTTAAGCCTTGTAAATGAGGCATCAATATCATGACGATGCTCGATTAATAAGCTTGGTTTTTGGGTGGAAGTATTAGCAACTGGAAGGCAATCATTGGTTAGGTTAGAGTTAGTAGATTGAATTGGACGCTTCAAATTAATTTATGCTAGGATATGCTCCGGTATCTAGAGATAATGAACTACCAAAGTTATAACCAGCGGACGGCACCGAAATACCGAATATGACAATGGAAATCAGCAGTTCAAGCCCGACAGAAGGCTATGAGCAAAAGAAACGTCAATCTTGATGTGATACGTCACGAATGGAACAGAGAGATAATAGTATAGCAGGATTGTAGATATAAACTCTTTGATGATCTCTGCACGAAGCCAACCATTTTGATGAGAGCCGCTAGTGACACAAAATAGGACAGGACGGGTGAGACGACCAGACCATATGGTGTGAGAAAGATGAGAGAAAAACAACTAAAA